AAATTAAATGAATTCAGAAATTGAAAAATGACTCTGTATTTCATTTCTTCTGGTTCCTGTCTACATGTAGGCTTTCGCTTATGTTTTTAGGATAGAATTTTATACCGTGAAGGTCGTTTTAGATTATATCGGGTGAAAATTCGGCATCATTCATCTCTTCGAGTGAAAACCTGTTATGTTCTTCCTATGAGAAATCGGGATTTTTCAACATCAATTCCTCACGTAGGACTGAAAATGTGTGGTCATTGATAGTACCGTTTTCGTAGCTCAAGAGAAACAGGTCTTGGAGCTCATGAAAGGAAGACATGACAAAATTTTTCGATGGTTTTAGGTCCATGTTTACAAGAACTCAGCTCTGTTTACATGTACTCGTACTTAGTTTTCACACCGTGAACGACATCCTCGACCCAGTCCTACAACAATTTTACTCGTCGTCGTCGTCCCATTCATCGTCGGTGCTTAAGGTCCCTATCCATGGCGAAAGGACGCACATGGCCTTTTGTGCCCGCAATACGTATGTCATGGGAAACTGCTGAAAAAACATAGTGGCGAAGCTTCGGATTGATCGTAGCTGTGAAATTTTGTGGTAGATTTTTAATAACAGGAAAATCGGTTTTACACTTCAAAAGCAGAGGAAAGGTAAAAAGTAAGTGACCAATTGGCGGGCGGCTTTGAATTTTATTTTAATCGATTTAGCTGAAAATCAGAGTTTGTGTAATTATCGTGGCTTGAAATAGTTAATCGCCCGCTGGCGACCAGTTGTGAAATTCTGGGCGCCAGTGCAAAATTCCTAGTCGTATTGGTGACCAGGAAAGTACAATTTCGGACCCTGACCTGTACATGTATGTTATAAGCAGTCTCAGCTCGGACTCACATGAGTTTTCATGACCTGACCATAGAAAGAGAAGAAGGCTTTAGTTAATAGTTTGCCAACTGAGGTGCTCATGGCTTAAAAAAATGTATCGGAGAGGTAGTATTCTAAGGCTAGGCTGCACTCTGTGTTGCTACCCCATCTTTACAAACTGCTTAGTAGTCAGAAAACATTTTCTTCCATATGGATATAACTGAGTGCTGGAAACAACAACTAATCATCTGACATTATTCTACCAAATTTTGTAGTGTCCAACCAATTTTACGTGATGATTATAAGCACCAAAAGGTTTAGCTTTCAGCAGTGAAGATCTTGTTTGCGTACAGAGTACGGTGTATTTTTCTTTAAAATTTTAAAATATTTTATTCACGTAAAGTCAATTTTGGTACTTCCCAGGAATGCAATAATGTTACAACACCTTTTTATCGGATTTCTGCTCTATTATCTGCCAAGTGGTCACTTACGGGAGGTTAAAAACAAAGGGAAATTTCAAACTTTAAGCTCTGAAAGTAGTTGCGGTCACTTACGAGATGTGGTCGCTTACAAGAGATCTCAAATATAGTGATTTGACTTGAAAACGTTTGGTATTTTGGAAAACTGGTCGCTGAGGAGAGGTGGACACTTACGAGAGGAGGTGGGAACAAGAGGTTCCACTGTATCAGTAAATATTTGCCAACTTAATTTCTATCAAACAAGACCAAATCCACATTTTATTTTACATCTCCCTGCCTTTAAATTACCCTTGGGAGTTGAGGGCTATTCTGATATCGATGTTTCTGTCTGTAGAACTAGAATTACTACAGATATCTTCATTCCTTCACATAACACTAAAAAAATCCTTAAGGTTGCCTTGTACCTTGTGTCAAGTTAAGCGTGTTCAGTTTAAATTGTAGATACCTAAACCCCTATATCAAACTTATAGAGCTGGCTATCAGACTATACCAAGAAATTTTGAATAAAATGAGCTGTTGAATATTTTACGACCTCTAAATGTTAGCGTCCAAATCACCTTTTGAAAGCTACAAGTCAAAGCAAATTTTGTTTTGCACTTATTTAATTTGTCCCCCAGTTTCTTGTCCCATATTCAATTTCAGTGAAAAGTTACAGAACATTTTCGAAATGGGATCAAAAAAAAATGGAGTGATTGCAGAAAAATTGCGCGGAAAAAAATTGAAAATGAAAAATTTGCACACACAGTTTTGATGTGTCCAAATTTGAGTTTAAATGAACAAATTTCCTATAACTTGTAGCTTTCAGAAGGGACCAAAAAGATGATTTGGATGCTCACATTTAGTTGTTGTGAAAAATTTGACAATTCAATTTATTTCAAAAATCTTGGTATAGTGTGATAGTCAGCTATATATAGGGGTTTAGGTATCTACAGTTTACCCTGGCTGTTCTTCATCCCTTGGAAGCGAGACACCTGTAAAGGTGCTCTAAAGGTACACGGTAGCCTTAAATTAGAGGATCAAAATTAATCACACAAGAGCAGGCCACAAACTGACCAAAATGGTGAATTGCTAAGGTTTTAGAACTGCAAACCATATGCTTTATGAGATGACTTTTATGAGTATGCGTTGAGCAATCTCCTGACCTCAGTGGGGAGTGAGAAAGTATAGAGGTAGATAACGTGGCCAGTCATTTTCTTAGGAAATTGAGTGATTTGCCACAGAAATAACTGCCATTTGAATCCATAGTGGCTCACTCTGCAAATTATTTTACCCTGCAGTGGTCATCAATCAATCGGTGGTTTTTATCCAACAGTGATATAGATGTTTTTCTTCATGAATAAGTTATAAGCTACATGTTAGCAAACCTGGAAAGGTTTCAGTCGAGTGATCTCAAGTTGGCGGGTTGAGGTACAACTGTAATTGTAATTTATCATGTTGTTCTTAAAAGGCTTCCATTGTTGAGGAAAGGACATGTTTCGGATGTACCATTATTTGGAAAATTAAATTACAGTTGCCTAAAACAATTTTGAGAGAATTTCCAAATATATCTTGTAGTGCAAATCCTTAATTGCACTCACATTCAGAGGATTACCTATGCTAATTTTTATGTTTATCAATACTTAACAGGAAGTGTTGGATTTGTCTGGTCTGCATTTGTTGACAGATCTCAGCCTCATGGCCATTGGCTCAGGAAGCTGTTCCAGTCTCAGAGAGTAAGCAATTAACAACTAGTTTTCCAGTACATAACTTGTATGTTATGACTTAAGGTGGCTGACATGTTTTCTGCACTTTTCATACCTTCTACTGTGATGGATCAACAGAACGCTATCATTCTTTTTCCATTTAAAATTTAAGGTGGCTCTGAACCCTACCTACAGAATTTTTTAAAACGTTGCCAAAAGTTGCGTGTTATCATGCTTATCAAAAGCTGATAAAAATAAAAAGATTTCACCATGCTGTTTTTGAATTGTAAGTCCCTAAAGCTGTAATTAAGGGTGCTTTTGGGGGTCATNTAAAATGGCGCTCAAGTCAAGTTCTAACCTGTTTTGGATAGCTGAATACTTTGTCTTTCAAGAAAAAGTATCGATAAGTTTTGGTTTTCCTTTACACGCAAACGTAAATTAAGTTTAGATAACTAATTTTAAGCCTTGCTATCGGCCATTTCGGCGGCCATTTCGGCGACCATCGAGGCGAAAATCGTTTTCCTCGGTTTTCTCGAATTTAAAGCGCTTCGAGCTCTAAAAAACTATATCACGTTTTATATCTACCTAAGGGCTATTTGTGGACGAAAAGAGAGAAAAATCGATTTTTCGACTTCTGCCGTGCTATGTTTGCTAATTAGAAAAATTTACTCGTAAAAACTTTTTTCTTTGGTCAGGAGGTGTAAATAATGGGATAACCAAATTAATTATGGCATTTTAATTTTTAACATGGATTAATTATGTACACTGGCAGGCCCACTTCTTTGTACCATACATTTTCCTGTTTCTGTCTTCCTTCAGTTTCACAGGAAGTTTCTACCAGGGTTTCCATCTTTATTGAATTTTTAACTGGTTTGTCGCCATAAATACAGTACATTGCACTCTCTCAATCCTTTCTGTTCAGACGAGAATATGGGAGCTTCCAGATGGTTGTCTGTTGTAATGTCTCCATTTTGCATTTGACACTACTAGTTAATAATCTACTGATTTTTTGACATCCATAGATTTGAATTAGGCAGAAGTTTGGTCCGCAACCAGTGCTTGATAAGAACACATTACTTTGCCCTGCATTGAGCCCAGACCTTCTCAAAATCATATTCTGGGATATCCAAAAGATATTTGTCCAAAAGGAAGTCTATTGATTCCTGAGTTCCCTTAAAAATGAAAACACTGTTTCGTTGACTCCCTTACTTTTTGTGGCTAACAGCCTTGAAGAGGTGTAACTGCTAATGTCATAATCTTTGTAAGTAAATTTGTCCTTTACCCTAATCTTCAGGTAGTTTTTGTAGCCAATTGACAATATATGGTTTGCACATAGGTTACTTGTTGGATATGTTGGAATATATTAGGAAAAAAACGGCTTCTTAAACATCTAAACAACTCGCATTCGTAAAAGCGCTCGAGACAAGAGTTGGCAACCATATGCTATCATTTATATCCAGGGTGGCCACATGCAGTCATTGACTGCCTATTAACAACTGCATCCCTAAATGGAGGTTGGGTACCGGCTGAGACATCCAGGAGCTTCCACTATTAGCAGCAAGCTCCTGGATGGAAACCGCTCCCGTGGTTGACAAATCCTGGAAACCGAACCAGGAGCTCCCAAATATTCATTAGGTGTGTTTTTCTTGGTTAACAACATCATGCGATAACTAATCATGAACGTAATAACTGGTCATGAAAAGTATGTAAAAACTCTGAACTTTGCATGGCCATGATTAAACAAGTTATGCCTTGAAAAGTGAAGCATGTTTACATAATCTGGACAATTCCTCGAACATGTGGCATACATATGTACGTAGTGACAAGATACAAATAAGCTGCTCTTCAAGAGCAACATTTAAATATTAATTTTGTGGTTTATGGGCTTATGCACTAGGAGGCTTCAACTTAAAAGGACTTTTTGGGAGAAAGTAGGGTGGGGCTTACCATAATCTAATTACTCCAATACCATTATATGGCAGATTAGTGTCACATACCCTTGTAATGCCAACATTATTACTTTTCTGTGAAATTATATTAGCAAGTATTCTTCCTGTAGTATTTACATAACTTGTTTCTCTTTTAGTTCTCAGTTGATGTAATAACTGAAATAGCAGCAAGTTGTCCCCAGCTGAGTGTTTTGCGGCTAGCAGGCATGAAAGAAGTAGATGATGCACTATTAACAGCGCTTGCTGAAAACTGTCGCCATCTTACTCGTGTTAGCATTAAAGGGTGTGGTTTGGTAAGTATAATGTACAGGGAAAGGAGGGTTAATTAAACCACTTCAAATAGTACAAAGGAAAACAATCCTTTTAATTACTTTCTCAAATTTTGATGCACATACAAGTCCTTTGTTTGCTAAGCTTAACTTTCCTAAACTTCAAGATTATATTAAACTTCAAACTCTCTTTTTTATGCACCAGTTTAACACTGGCAAACTACCAAAGATCTTTGATTCGTTTTTTGTCAAAACATCTTGTAAACATAATGTAAACACTCGCTTTGCGTCTAGGTCTACTTTCTATCGTCCAAAAATTCGAACAAATTATGGCAAATTTAATATTCGATTTAATGGACCTAAATTATGGAATGAACTCGATGAAAGATTCAAGTGTTGTACTTCTAA